ACATACACGGCCTTTTCTTTTTATTCTTGTCCCTTCTTCGCACTTTGGTTGTATCCAACCATTCGCTCACTTGTACGGTGTCAACCACCCGACCATCTACTTTTTCTTTTGTCAAACATCTTCACGGCCTTGGGAAAACGGCGCTAGAGGCGAAAACCACTTCTTTTCTTTTCTTTTCTATGTCCGTCAAGAAACAGCGGGCGGGGTTTGGGGAGGCACAGCCTTGATGATCAAACGGGCTTTTTTCCCCCTTTTTTTTCTGGAAGCGGGTCAAAGAGGTTGGGCCAAATCGGCGATTTTCTATGGCGTTCCGGGTTGAAACAAAGCATTTACATCGGCGTTATTTTGTCTTTTTCTTTTTCTTTTCTTCCGCTTCATTCTTTTGTCTCGTCGCTTCGAAACATCAATCACATCCCACACACCTACGCTTCACTTCACACGACCTGTGTACTGTTGCGAGAGCTGGTCTTCCAACTTTACCCTCTATCTCAAACAAGACACAGAAGTCCACTTTTACTTCTTTTTAGACAGTTTTTTTTTTTTTTTTGGGAAGATGGCAGGCAAGCAAAGCCGCCACGTCGCCCACAATTTCACACGTTTTAAAGTCACGCTACTGTTCGCTGCTGCTTGTCACCGATTCTGGTGAACTTCGTGTTTTGTCTGATACTTTGTTTGATGAGAAACTCTTGGAGAGGGTGCGTTACGTCCTGTAGGTAGGAGGAGAATATAACAACAACGAACATGCGCGAGTTACCAGCACTGTCAGAAAAGCCTTCCTTGGCGTTTTGTCCGTGGTAAGCAAATAACTGTCTACAAGGCCTAGGTTTGCACCCCATGTGCACACATGGCTGTGGCAACAAACGTGAGCAAATAACCTTGCCGGGACGCTGAAGAAGCTTAAAGCAAAAGGTGGGGGAGAAGGGGAAACATGCGCAAGGGGCTGCTGCAGTGCAGGTTCGACACCTGTGGCAATGGCGGCCGGCAAACAGCAGCGGCAGCAAGTGAGAGAGTGAGAGAGAGTGAGTGACACAGATAGATGTCAGAGAGGACAGAAGGCCTGCGGCACTCCAGACCCCTTCCTCTCCACGGGGATCTTCGAAACAGCAAGGCAAGGGTGGCACGCGGTGGAGGGCGAAAAGCAAGCGCCGCAGACGGGGGCTGGTTTCGCAGCCGACGGGCGGTGACAGGGACAGGCAGAGGTGAACATCGTGCGGAAACTTTCCAATCTTGGGCAGGCCTTGTCGTATGGGTGCAATCCACACAGGGGCTACATAACGTGCACGCGATGGCTTGCCGTATTGTACCGTAGGTACCGAGCCTCCCCGGCTGGCTAGGTAGGTATTACACGAATGGGCTTCTCGCGTAAAACAAAAGAAACAGACAGGGGAGAAAAAAAAAGGAGGATGGGGAAAAAAACACGAAAGGAGGTAGTACAGTACCAAAGAACAAGAAAGCGTGGAGTAGCATCGACGTGGTGAGTTCCAGGCGGTCCAATGGACGACGCCGCTCCAAAGCTCCCGGCCCGAGGCCCAGGCGGCCAAGCTTGTGCCCTTCGCCGCACGCCGTACGCCGTAACAGCGTGGCCTGTCAGGCGTACGGCTTCAGCTTGCTTGGGTTCGGTACGATGGGGCCTCGAAAGTGGACGGCCATAGCCGCGAAACCTGGCCCTATAACATAAAAAGACCCAGCCAGGTGCCCCAGCCTGCTGACAGCATGAATGTTTCGACGACGGCCCAAGCGGCGACAGGCGGGTCCCAGTTACCCTCCCCACACCCTTCTTTTTTTTTTTTTTTTTTTTTTTTTTCCTCCCGCGCACCTGGCACATACACCGAGAGCTAGCTGACCAGTCGGTATGTAGGAATGGTAGGAACGCATATTACGGTAGGACGGATGGAGGGAGGGAGTGCCCGTTGGGAAGAAGTCAAGCATCAGCACAAGCATATTTGCTCCCCAAACCCATTCACACGCTGAGATGGCCCCTCCTGATCGCAACGTGTCGAAACAGGCCCAACAAAGAAAGAAACATGCGAGCCCAAGAAAAGAAACGAGATGTGGCTGGCTGTTTCCCGCTTTGGGTAATAATGGTTGTTGGCGGCGGCGCTGAGTCTTTTTGCCTGCCGAGTACGCTCGAACTAGTAGGGACCGGGGCCAACGACGGGCTGCCGTGTCGCTGGAGGGTGTGCATATCGACTCGACAGTACATAATATCGCACCTGGTCTTCATACGGTGAGCCTCCACGTTCTGGGCCGTCGATGCGTGAAAGAGGAAAAAATATAGGGCACTACTGCAAAGCTAGCAGACGCAAGGGAGAGGGATGAGCGGAGAGAGATGAGCGGAGAGAGAGAGTGAGATAATCGCGCGAATTTCGGAGCTGGTTTTTTTCCTCCAACGACACGACACATTGATTCAGCAAGTCTGGTGCTAATGCACGCGGCGATTCTACAGAGGGATTCATTGCCTGCCTGTGCCGGCCGGGCCCTGCTTTGCCTGCTCGGCCTCGTCTGCCAGGGCCCCCTTGCTATAGGCACGGTATGCTCGGTACCTACGGGCCTGCCTTTTACTTGGCTATCACGATCTCCTACCGTGTAACGTTTTCGCTCCGAGCGGCGTACGAGAGATTGGGTATATACGGTAGCACGCAGCACGCAGCACGACTCCCAACGTTTCGCGACCGTGGCATCGTCAAGCAAGGTTTATAAGAGGAGCCTCTACAGGTACCTATCTCAGAGGCACCGCCATTTTTTGCGACATTTTTGCTCGTCGTGACAACTCATGTGGGCAGGGAGTGATCGCATACCCCTACCTGGACGGCGGTCACAATGTGTCGTGCGGCAGGCAGGCAGGCAGACAGGCAGGCATGTCCCACGAGAAGGGGTCCCATGCAGCTGATCGGTGATTCAAAAGGAGGACGCACGCACGCACGCACACCGAAAGGGAATCTCCAGCAGATCGTGCCGTTCGTGGGGGTCCGGCAGCATCGCCCTGGTCCCAGCTGTTAATCTCGCCTGTCCTGGTGGGTCGCTGTTGCGTTGCGTTGCGTTGCGGTTCAGGTTGGTGTGCTGTTCGTGGGGCGTGTGGCTGTCAATCACACAGTCTTGATGGCATTCCCGGTACCTAGTAGTAGTTAGTAGCAGCAGCAGCAGCAGCAGATATTCGCATTACTGCTTCTGAGGCCATGTTCGCTGGCTCCGTGTCTTTTTTTTTTTTTGTCGACACAGGTCGTGGCACGCCATCTCACCAGTCGCCGGGCGTCTCCGTCAATGCAACGGCCGATAGTGTCCGCGCTAGCCTCTGGGGCCGTCGGGTAGTCGTGTCAAACGTCTGCCAGAAACGGACGGCAGTCCCCGCGCTTGGCCAATCCGAACACTGCGGTTATGCCGACCTTTTCCCGTCGGCTGGCCGTGGCTCAGATCGCCAGGAGCCCCATGGAGGCAAGCTTCGGGAAATCGGGCGGGAAAGAACCCTCAACCCGAGTTAGGACAGCTGCAGAGACATGACTCTCAATTCACCTGACCACCAGATATTTACGCCCTCCTTCGCGCCCAAGGTGACGTGGACTTTTTCTGCCAGCTGTGTCCTGTATGTACAGGACATGGCACCGATGTTTTCCATCATGCCCATGCGCCATGAAGAGGCGGTGATTGACACAGACACCACCCAAGCCCCGTTCTCGATGCAGCCCTCGGCGTTCTGGAAGGCTTCGAATCGGTCTTGATTTCTCATCCTGTCAAGGGACTGGACCAACTGGCAGCCTAGAATGTGCTGGGTTAGTGACTCGCTAGCCTGCCTGTTACACTTACACCGCTGGATTGGCGACAAAAGAAGAGCGGGCAGAAAGAGCTTGGCAGCAGTAGCTCCAACTCTGTCTTTAAAGCATCGCGATGCTTCCACCTCGCCCCAGACAGCCTCCGCTGTTTCAAAGGGTGATAAAGAAGGGAAAACTTCATGCCTATCCAATCCAGCACGTACAAAATCCCCACATCCGCTGGTGCGGTGTGCAGTCCGCGTACACACGCCGTCACAGCCAAGCAATCTGTCGACGAGCCTAACATCGGACGGTCAGGGTGCAGCGAGACCGATCTTCGTTGCTGCTCTTTTGCTGTCATCCAAAAATAGGCCGTTGGTTCGCAGGATGATAAGGGCAGTGTCTCATCTTATAATCGGCAGCTGATCATAAGTTTCTCCCGCCTGGCAGATCCGCCCTTTGTTTGGTGTTTGGGCCGTCAATGCTCCGTCCTCTCGAACCTGTCTGGACGCCGCATTTTCTGCCTAGAACTCAGGAGGGTCTCGTGTGCAAGGGGGTCTTAATAGCTTGGCTGCGTGGCCTTGGGACGACACCACGGCTTGGGGTACCCCAGCTTCCCAAGGGATGGAGACAACGTGGACGGGCAAGCCGTCTTCACTCTCCTTCCCGTCCCATGAGGCCTGCCCAGCCGGCCAAATGGTTTGCCGGCCGTTCCGGCAGCAGACGTTCAAAATACCTGTGCCAGCGTCGAGACTGGTACAGGCCAGGGCATGATGCCGAAGATGAAATTTGTGTGCATTTGCTGGAAGATGGACCCGGCCGGCGCCATCCTCCTGACGCCTCCACGCCTCCACGCCGGTGATCTCCGTCCCCCCTGATGGGTATCCAGTGGCGATCAAAGCTAGGGCACCATGATTATGCAGTGCCATGGATCTACAACTGCCGTTGACCTGGGAAGTGTGCAGCTCGTCAACCCTCCAGGGGGTGGCTTGTACGTATGAAAGCTGCTAGGTGGCCACACCATGTTGCACCCCTAGAAGCAACCTACCTATACTACTAAATACTGGGAGGCAGAGAGAAGAGCCATGTGTAACGTCTGATTTTCACTTGAATATGTCTTTTCCTGTTACACAGCTACCGAAGGCACCCTCTCCCCCAGCTCAAGACTCATCGTCAGTGGAGATTTCTCGACTTACTCGCCCAGTCCATATAAGCGGACGCAGCACGAGAACGCTCTCACCAATGCAAATCACAGGCAAGATGGCCGAGTCGGTTATGGCGTAGGATTAGGGTGATAGTGAGTCCTCACTGCCTTCATACGGAGAAATCCGCGTGGTTCGGGTCCCATTCTTGTTAGTATGTACCGTCCCTAGGGCTCTAGCTGAGGTGCTTTTTGCGAGGCAGTTAAACCCCGTCTTTCCTTTTGCTCTCCGTTCCTGAACTCCCCTGCATACGCGCAAATAGGCATGGCCTACGTTACTGCTCAACGACCTGTAATTTGGGACCAAGCGGCCTAAGCGCCCGAATACCTGTCCGTTCATCTGCCTATGCGTGCTCCTCTACCTGCACCCGGCCGGCTGTCGGCGGCCACGGGGGCCGATTGACTGACAGCCGGGCCGCTTGTGGGTCCGCCTCTGACGACACCAGAGGGAGGGGCCAGGCAAGAGCTCGAATTATAGTTGCCCCGCGCATTTGAAATCAACAACAGACGGGATGGTGTAGTCTTTTTTCCTTGACGATAAGTCAGCAATTCCACGGCTGTCCCAGCGCGCCACCATTGACGAACAGACCAGCAGTCCGGAACGCGCGCGAGTGCTTGGCCGGGTTGAGTTGTGAATACAAAACTCGGCATTGTCCCGGCAGCTAGAGCGATCGCAAGTTCCCGGCGACTGCGCAAGACGCAAACTTCAGCCACACAACACAGCCCAGAATGTCTTCCTCAAAACAAACACAGGACGATTTGGACTCGGAGCCCGAGATGCTGGCGGCCGAGGATGCGCTCGAAGAGATCCCCGACGACGCAGACGGCGACATCCCAATGGACAGTGACGAGGAGGACGGCGAGGAGATCAACCTGTCCAACGACGGCATCGCCTACTTTGAACACCACAAAGACTCGGTCTTCGCCATCGCCCAGCATCCAACCCACCCTACCCTGATCGCCACCGGCGGCTCCGAGGGCGACGGCGACGACGCCCCCGGAAAGGGCTACGTCTTCGACACTGCAGGCGTGCCACCGCGACCACTGCTGCCCCAGAACTACAGCGGCGCACCCCCGGCGCCCCCGACATCACTCGACCCGCTCTTCCACATCGACGGCC